ATCAGAGACTATCTCGACCGGTTCTCAGCTGCTTTTTAGTCACATCCCGCCCTCACCACGCCTACTTACTGCCATAAATAGTCAATGGAAAGTGCCTTGTGGATCTCATGCATATACATAAGCCGGCTGTTGCAGCGCTCCGCCAATGGCATGGCGACCGTAGATCAAGGCAGATGAAGGAAGCACAAGTTGAGGTACCTGTGGGTGAGGTGGAGAAATGAAAGGAAGTGCTTTTGCAAAACAAATGAGAGAAAATCCACGGAGTGGCACAGCGTTGCTGAAGCCGTCAATGCTGAGTTCTTCAGAGAGATCTGTGGCGGACATAAAAAAAAAAGGTTCAATCAGGATTCGATCCCCAGACTCCCGGGTGAAAGTCACACGCGTTAACCAGTCAGCCAAATGGAGATCTGCCCTGTACAACTAGCCAGGGCGCATGATGTTCTGTCTCAATCTGTCCCCCTGCTGATATTCTGCATTCTGCATTCTGGCTTCAGGGTGTGCGTGTGGGGGTCTTGTTCTGTGTGAAAACGAAGTGGTACAAGTGATAATGCTGCAGGATTTCATAATGTTATCCTTCTCAGCAGCAGCACTGCAGGTGCTCTCCATGTCCAGCATGTGTGCCAGGTCCGCACATTTTTCCGCTAAGTTTTCTTTCATAAATCCCCAAGTTTGCGTGGAAATTTGCTTACGCAGTTTTCTGACCCTGTTTTGTGCGTAAGCTAGCTCGGTGAACGAGGCCCCTGCACACTGAACTCTACTTCAGCCATTGCTCCACACTCAGGGGCGGATTTAGCAATTTGGGGGCCCAAGGCGAACACAGACATGGGGCCTCTTACACTAAATTTCCGACAATCTTAACTAACTGGATTTGCGAAAATCTACCCTCTTCTGACACGATTTATTTTCACTTTTATTAGTCCTCCTCTTTTTTCCTGTTTTTCTCTCCCTTTGAGTGCTTTCTTCTTCCTGTCAGTGCTCCTGCTTTTGCCTTTGTTATTTTATTTCTATTTTCCATTTTGGTCTGTTTTCCTCCCTTTAAACATTTTCCATCGTCTTTCCTTTCTGCCTCCTTTTGATGTTTACATCGAGAAACGACGTCACTTTCAGAAGTGAAGATAAAAGCTTTTATGAAGCAAGCTGCTTCTTTCTCATTGGAGCCACTAGGATAACTCCATTTCATGCTTCATGTTTTACTATTGCTTTGAGTTTGTCACGAACGCTCCCGCCTCTCTTCTTCTTATTTGTGGTCTTATGGCACTTGGCAAACAACAATTTGGTGCATTACTGCCACCAACTGGATTGGAGTGGAATGACTACCAATCACTTCCTGCTTGTGCATCGGCGTCTTAATAACCCTCTTATGACCATAATTATAACAGGGCCGCCTGGTATGTTTTTAATCTTATGGCTGTAAAATTGTAATAAAAAGTACAAAGTGTGTGTAACTCTCTCCTTTTTTCAGAACAACCTCAGCTTTCAGTGTATGGTTTGTATTTAGAATTTATTTCTATTAAAGCCTTTAAAAAATCAGCTTCAAAGTGAAAAAAGCAAAAAGCGGATTTGAATTTTTTACATTTCTTACTGAACAGGAACTTTAAAATGACTGGGCAAACAATTTAAACTTTGAACTGAAATGCATCTATTCTTTAAAAAGTTTGAACCTTGGTATCTTTTTTAGCTGTTTTTAAGACCATTTAGTATTGTTAACTTTCAGATGTTTTTATTTGATGTGGTTGACCTTGAAGCAGTTTCTCTCCAGCTGCAGGCAGAGTCCTGCACACCTCACACTGTCATGGGGTGCTTCTCTTGCACACCGTGCTGCTATACCAAAAACTTTTGTTGTAGCAAAAATAATTATTTATTGTAAAAAGATAAATAATGCTGGAATGAAGCTGAATCTTACAATTAGCAAATAGTTGAGGGTTGTTCAAATAAATAAAAAAAGACTGAACAAACATTCATACCCTGGTTCACTGGAGATCTGTCCTTCGTGGTCACTGTCTTCAGATATAAGCCTTCTGGGACACCTAATAGATCGTGTTGATTTTCTTTGAGGCATTTGCATAATTTCATGCTGGTTTTTATGCTTATTAGCTTCCCCGTTCCGTTAGCCGCTTCCACCGCGGCGCTGCGCTCCGTTTCAATCAGGCTGTACAGCAGGATATCCCCTCGTAGCGATATTTTCCATAACTCTGATTGCTTCATGCTATAGATCGTTGGAAAGCTGCTTTTATGTACTTTTAGGAACCGTTGGAATTATTTGGATTTGATCAGCCGTTCAAAAGTTATAAAATGGAGCATTTTGGATGACAAACTCAGCACGTCTCTGAATCTGTGTTGTGATTCGTTGCGCTCAAGACAGGGAATCCCGGTGGCTACCGTAATGTATTGTATATGCACGAAATGCCCCATTTTTAATCTTTTCAGCACTTTTGGAGTTTTAATGATATCTTGAATGGTTCAGGAATTATGGTATTGAGAAGTGCGCATGTCCAATCCCGTCTGCGGCCACAGGTTGGTAATAAGAATATTGTGGCATTAACAGAGGGGTGCCGGTGGTCAGGGCTAGGAGGCCCCCCACCACTAGGGGGCCCCAGGCGGCCGCCTACCTATGCCTAATGGTAAAACCGCCTCTGTCCAGACTCCCTTGTTTCAGTCCGAACTACAAAGTTGTTTAGTGCAGTTTCTGGTCGGGGAGTGCTGTTTCATTTGAAGTTGCTCATATTTCTGGCTCAAGAACCTTTTCTATCATTGCATCACTACCATGGGTTTACCTCTGTTGGATTATTGCAATGCATCTGGCCTCAATCAAGTCATTGTCCAGACTACAGATGAGTTTAAATAGCACTGCTCAGCTTTTATCTGGTGTTAGAGTGAGGGAACGTATGGCTGTGATGTTTCTCTCAGGTCAGCAGTTCAGTTGTTAGTTGTCCCAAAAACAAGACTGGAGGGTCTACCATTACATATCAGTCTCTCCATATTTTAAAGACTTTCTTTTTTAAAGCTGTAATAAATAATCTAGAGAGAAGGCTAGGTTTTGAACACAAACATGGTCAAAAAACACTCACCCCTCCCTTCAGGTATGTTCCCTGAAATGATTCTGCTGGAACCGGATACCCGTGATGCCAGAAGTAACGTGATGGTGCTAAACACCAGTCGCCATTTTCTAGGTCCAAATGACTTTCGTTGTCCATGACTAAAAATGGTTGTTTATTCTGCAATGGCAAATCTGCAAAACAGGCTAGCTTTTAAACAGTCACAGAATTCACCCCTTCTGTCAGCCATCATCCCTAGACCACCTGCGTGATACCAAAACCCATATTGCTAGAGCAAACGAGAGCGCTAAACACCAACGTTTTTTAGGTGTGGACGTCTTTTGTTGTCCATAACTTGGTGTTTTTCTTTTTGCGACACTGGTAGTTTGTCCTAAAGTTGAAGTGGTAGCAGGCGGCTGTTTCTCCTATTATTGGGCAAAGAACCTGGACCCCGGGAAGTGTGGGGGTTTGGCCAGACAGACGACACAATGGTCCAGTGGTTGCTTTCGGTTCGAATAGTTATTGGTGAATGTTTTTAGACAAACGCGAGAGAACCACATTATACTTTTTAAAAATAATTTCACAACATATTTAAGAGGCATGACAAATATTTTAAGCTAACTTGTTTTCAAAATTTTGTTCTAGCGTCTTTAATTTAGCATCAAGTATATTTTCAGAGTTACTCTTTAGTTTGTTTTTAATCATGCTGTGAAGCCTCTTGGTCAACGGCATTGTTTCAAAATGCTTTCATAAATAAAGGTGGAGTGGGAAGAAGTGGGACATGTCGGATCAGTCAGTCCAACCTTAATCTGTGACGCGCTTTTCATGCAAGCGTAGCTCAAAGCGCTTGACCAGGTGAGAAAATTGACCCACAAGTCAATTCCACATTTTTTTCCATAAAATAATGCCGGACGTCTTCTATTTACCCACCCCACCCCCTCCACACACAAAAACACACACAAGCTATAATGAAAGGACCGCTGGATGAGTGCAGATTAACAGATATTTTACACTCGGCCATCAGGAGGTTGGACCTCTTCCTCCAGATGTGGCTCACACATCAGCACCAGGTACTGGGATGGGTTTATTTGTAACAAATACTCTGATCACATCAGATAATTTTTGAGGTTAAACATTGTTGTTTTGCAGTTCAGATGAGTTCAGATTGGCAGATGTTTAAGCAGTTTTGAGGTCCCGCTCTTTAAAATGGTTAAGCCTCCATCGACATTGTCGGACTGACCCTGAAACCAACTATTGTTAAACAATAGAAAAAACAGTGTAAACGTGTGGGTTGTAAGGGACATAAACAATCAAGAAATGACGTTCACCTCCATTATTTTCATTGTGAACAAGCATCAGTGAGTACAGGACGTCCTCCGGATTTCCAGAAACCCTTTAATCATCACCGGGACCCAAGCTCTGTCCATCTTTGCTTCTGCTGCTTTCACTCTTTGTCAACCTGCTGATGCACACAAAGCTGTGCTAAAGCTGCCGTTCAGTTCACAATCATTTTGAGCTGTATGTTTGGTTTCTGCAGCCCCCTCTGGAGTGCTGAGTATTGTGTAAATCCTCAAATCAACAAGCACAGATTCTATTTAATTTCACAGCTAGTGGAGTGTCTCTAATCTCATCCAGCCATTTGGGCTGTTTGCTTTTCAAATCTAATGGCTGTTTATTTTTTATTATTTAGTTTTGTGATGAGGGTCTTAAAGGTTATTGCAGTTTTCCTCCAACTGTTCGGGGTCTCCGGTGTCGCGCCACATCAAATGATTAAATTGGTTCCTGAAAACAAAGAGCCTGGCAACAAACAATAGAATAAACACAACGGTACTCACACCTCACCTTATGTTTATGGGTTTAGCAGACGCTTTCTTCCAAAGCGACTTACAAGTACAACCTCATTAAAATGCATTTTTCTTTCCCCTTTTGGGAAATGTGAATTTAAATTTTTCGTTTGCTGTGTAGTCACTTAATCCAGATGGACGTGCCAGGAGCAAAGAGCCAGTCCACAGAGCCCAAAGTCGCTCTTAAGTCCACTCCAGAGAAGAACGCGACTACAGTACGTACTTTCTAACCTTGCCTGAATTCAGGATGACCCCCCCCCCCCCCCCCCCCCCCCGGTCCAGGAACGTAACTGGACTTTGGTTTATGTAATTGCAACTCTGCCTCGCCAACGTTATTCATGATTTGTAAATTAAGGCCGATGTCGTGCTTATTCCTTCTCCAGCCAGACCAGAACAGATTTATGAGCCATGAAACCCTTTTCCCTTGGCTTGTGTGTGTTATGCACATATTCAAAGCCTTTTACACATTCCTGTAGGGGTTTCAAAGAAAATGACACTTTGTGAAAGCATGCGCGCTTTTCCGTTTTTATAAATGCACCTTGTTATTTCTCCCTTCACTTCCCCTCATTTTGTCACCGTGCTTTCAAATTTAATTCCACACATAAATAAAAATTAGCTTCCAAAGTGAGCTGGATTAAAATGACTTGTTTCTCAGTAATGCCAGAAATTTGTAGTCATTTGCATAAAACGGGTTATTTTGACATCTTTGAAAGTTTTCTCATTTCCTTTCTTTCTCTCCACCTGCACAACATAAACTAGGCCATTCCTGAAAGAGATCCTGTCCCTCACACCAGTTTGGAGTTGGATGGAGACGCACTACAAGGTGGAGTAGGCATCGGGGATGGCCAGGAGCAGGAGAGGGACTTGTGTCATAAATCAGGGCCAGGGCTCGTGTCTGAGAGTCCACAATGGGGAGCTCTGAGTGGAGCTGGTGTTGCAAGTTATAATGCAGAGGAGCTTTGGTCAGGGGATGCCAGCCTCCAGCAGACAAGTGTCCTGGGCCCAGGTGATGGATGTGGCATGAAGCCAAAAGGGAATGCTAATGAGATCAGAGGTGTTGTGACTGACTGCTATAAGGGGAGACCTGGCTCTGAAGGGAGCTCATTAGGCAGCATGTCCCACCTGCTGAGGAATGGAGGAAGTGGATTCACGTCGGTCCTCCCAGAGACCAGCACTCAGATGGCCTGCTGTCCACCCAAAGACACAACGTTTGGGAACCAGCACACTTGTGAGGAGATGGATGAATCTGGAGGTGTAGAAGAGATCCCAGAAGTTGGTTTGACAGAAACTGCGGCACCTGCAGATCAAAACTCGGGGCTGGCCTCTTTGTTTAGCAGAGTTTCTTGGCTTTTCCGGGACGCACATCGTCTCCTTTGGAGTCCTCCTACATTGCTGCAGCAAGTCGCAACAGAAAGACTGCAACCTGTTGGTGCCGCTTGGGCCAACCAAGTCATTTCTCTGGTCAAAGAAAGTTCTGTTCTTTCTGTGGTGAAGGACAGCCAGGCCTTCTCCGTGGCCGCAGGAAAATTCATCTTCTCCTTTTTTAAGGATTATCATATTTTTTCTGTTGTGAACGATCTTTCCCTCGTGCAGCTCCTGCAGACAAACATAACTCCCCATTTTCAGCTCAAAGAGGCAGCTTGGGTGATTCAGAGCAGTGTTAGTCCTGATGATGCACAACGCCCAGCTCTGACTTCAGCACAGACCAAGACGGAAGAATTGCAAGATGATGAGCAGCAAACCTCCCAGGATTTCACCGAGGAAGATTCGCAGTCCCAACAAAAGCAAGACGGGGACGATATTCATGCTAAACAAAACGGTGAGAATGTTCCAGAGCCTCAGCTGTTCAAGCAGATCAGCATGACACAAGCATCTGAAGGCCCAGATAAGACACTGGACAACTTAAAACACATCAACATGGTCACTCAAACACTGATAGAATTTCCTGATGCTCTTATGAAGTTTCAAAACGTCCCGCTGCAAGACATGATGGACTCTCTACAGTCGATCGTCTCTTCAGTGCCCTCCTCCCAGATACGGGCTCTTTTCTGGCTGAGTGCAGCTAAATGCCGCCAGCCTGAACCCCAGCCCGGCCTCCTGATCCTGATGGATACTGATCTTTACACGCTGACCGCCGACTCTGGACTCCCGGCCTTGTTCCACCACCTCCCTCTGCTTCAGCTTAAGGAGATGCAGATAGGCTTAGGGGGTCAGAGTTTGCACCTAATCAGCACAGCTGAGGATGGCGTACTCTGTGTTTATACCCACAGCCAGAAGAACACCAAGGAGCTTTGCAGGGCCATCCTGGATGCCGTTTGTCCTGAAGACGGCAGGATTTCTCAGCACCCGCTAATCCATGAAGATCTGATGAAGTTATCTCTGGACTCTGGGGTGTCTGTGCCTGACCTGCTGCTGGACACTGGGTTAAAGCTTTACTGTCGATTCCAGAGGAGCTTTGCAGATCTGGTTTATCATATTTATTCTAACATGAACGAAGCAGAAATGACTCTGGGAGATGTGCAGCTGTTGATGTACACAAGTGTTGCAGTGCAAATGGCTGCCGGTCCTCCCAGCAAACGTGTGGCCCAGTTTTTCCTTTCAGATACGCATCTGGGTCTGGTGAGGGAGGAGGCTGTCTGTCACCCCGCCCCACAGGCCGTCACAACCGCCTGCCGCTCCCAGTTCCACGATTTAACTATTCGCCGGTGCTCTGATGTGCGCTGCATACTGGTGCACGACGAGGACAAGAATGGAATGGTCGGGCTGGATCTGGTCCTCAGCGCGAGGGCCAGGGGTCACCCTGAAAGCGTGGCGTTGGCAGCTACCTCGTCTGAGCGTGCTTTAAATTCATCTCCGCCTCCAGAAGTGTGGAAATTAACTTTCAGTTGCTCCGCTGAGGCCACCTGCCTGATTAATCACTTGTCAAACGTCTGATCAAGGACTGAACGGTGGGTAATGAACAGCCCAGCTGGAAAACGCCCGCTCACTGAGAGCAGTGGCACAAGTGCATCCAGCCAGACAGACCAAAGGACGACTTCATCGCTAAATGACAGAAGACTTTGACCTACTTTAAAGCTTCTTTTCTCTTTTCACATCAATACCTTTGCTCTTATTTTTATCTCTAAAGCACTTGAATTTTCTACAGTTTGATGTTTAGAGTTAGCGGTTGAAATTTTGCATTTATAATTAAAAGATCTGTGTTAGTTTTAATAGGACTTGTAATATTTTTATGACTGACCAAGTGATTTCATGTATAAGGTGGTTATATTAATGTGTTTTCTACTAATTGAAGGTCTTTATGTAAAAATAAATAAAAGTAATGTGAAATTTTAATGTAAGACTTAAAATAAAAGGTTAAACTCACTTTTGCTGTGATGTTTTATTCACTTCTCTTATTTGGGTTGATGTGAGACTGTTTCTATTTTTGTCTCCATGGTTTCAGTCAAGCTCAGTTTCTCCGTCTTTTAGAGTTTCATTTACTCACAAGCTGACCCTTCATAAACCTGTTATACGCTGATCATTCAGACCTTACAACCGCTAGTAAGAGTTTTGTTTTCGGAGAGACTTCAGATGAATCCAATCTGTTGCCAGGCATCCAACTTTAGTGAAAATTGGAATATTTTTGATGAGCTGATGACGATGCATCCCTTTGGACGTCTTGATTGGCTTGCTTTACCTTATTGAGCTTAAAGAATTTGTAAATGAAGACGCCGTTTAGTCGGTTTTCTGCTGCAGAAGGGTGGGAGAAAAAACTGGAGCAGTTCTTTAAAATCTCATTTAAAAACTTGACCTACTGGAGGACGGCATGGTGGTTTACAGCCATGTAAACGTAGCGTTGGCATGTTCTCCCTGTGCATGTTCGGGTTCTCTCTGGGTAATTGGATTTCCTGCACAGACCAAAAACCTGAATCTAATGGATGTAAACTAGTCTCTAAAGGAATTAATGAGCATTCTTCTCTTTCAGTTTGATTTATACGTTCTGTCTCAAAGACCAAAATCAGTTTTTTCTCTAGAATAATAAAAAGTAACTGCAAGACGACAAACTTTTAATTATTTTGCAGGATACAGATTACTTTACAGTTGTCAACACGCTAGAGCTGCTGGGTGGTTATGCTAAACAGACAGGCACCCATGCAAAATGCACACTTGCTTGTCTAGGACTACATCATGCATTGTGACGCGACATGATGCACTTTTTGCCTCTATAGTCAAAACAGTGATGAAATGTAGTGTGGAGGTCATTATTAATGGGAATGTTACACAAACATGCCATTGTGTTTTTAGTTGTTGCTGTGGGTTTGTCAGCTTTTCCCTCTTAAAGGGTACTTAGCAACTTTTTCATATTTTTTAATTTTCTAGAGCCAGTATGGGATAAAATGACTTTTAACAGAGTTAATGAAAGGCCACCCAGCCCCCATCGCCCCCGAGACCAGAATATTGAACTTGCAACTTCCGACTGGCGGGCTGCTCTGTTGGGACAGAAGTTTGAGCGGACATACCTGGCGCTGTAGTCTGCTTCATGAACACAGCTGTAATGATGAGTCACTCCTGTAGACACTAATGAAGGCTGGGGGAGATGTTTCAGCTGCTGGGTTAAGGTGTTGAAAGACAACTGCACAGCGAGATATTTTGTTTTTCAGTTCAACAAATGAACACTAGGGGGTGCCAAAAGCAAGCCGAAATGCCTAATCTAGAGGATCGTAATGATCTGATGTGGTTTCTACAAAACCATTTGGTTTGAATTAAAATCACGCAGACATATCTTTTTCTGACGCAAACTTAAGAAAATGTTAAAAGTATTTCAGTTGAGGCAAACACTGCGTCTGAAATGGAACCAAGCACCAATAAATGGATCCTCTTTAAATCAGTGCTGTGATTTCCCACTGAGTCTCCAGCTTTAATGCACATCAACATTGACTCCACATAACAGGATAATTTGTTTACCTCCTGCCTCAGAAGCATGTGAACGTGCTCCAGTCACTCGTGTCAATGCTTAACTGTTAATGGCTTAAATCTGTTCAACATTGATTGGGATCATTTGGCCTTCCCGGAGCACAAATCAACTAGTTGACTCGTGTTTTCTAAGCAGCGGGTTGGAAGCTGGTTTCATGGTTACTTAAAAGAAATTGGTTTTGACAATAATCAGCTTGTTTAATTGGTTTGGATTAAAATGGTTCAGGTTTCTGGTAGCTTAAGTAAACTTCTGATTAATTCAAGTCTAATAAAAACCTGCAGCTCACACTAAGGTTTTGGCTTTGTCGAGCTGCTGGTGTTGAACTTGTGACTGTTATCAGTCAACAGGAAGTGCTGGAAGCCGGATCTTTTAGTTCTTTTTCCCAGTGTTAATGTATTCAGCCTACTGGAGCGAACTTTGGTGTGTGAGTTGGCTGAGATAGCACGAAATATCCAAGGCAGGAATCCAGAACACATTTCATCTCAGCTTCTTCACTTATAGAATAAGTGAATTTTTATTGATAATGCTTGGGTTATTTTGCTTCAATTCACTAAATCTCCCCTAAATTGTACAGCTTTAATAAATTCATCACTATTACCTCATTTACTTTTGGTGGTGTCATTATTAGCTGATTTATTAAGGTTTCTAGTCACATAAAATGTCCAAAATAACTTGTTTCCTCTTTTTAAATTAAACAAATGACTTAAACACATTTCATGTTTTCTAATGTTTATATTTTCACTTGCCCTGACTCCTGTTTGTCCTTTTTGCTGCTCCGGTTAGTTAACCTTTGCATTATTTATTATCTATTAAACCATTATCTCATCCATGTGATCAGTTTGACACAAATGTCTAGGTAATCACTTAAGGCACCTGCTAAAGTAGGATGCATATTCATTTTTGTACTTGAGATTTCTACAAAAAGCCACATCATACAACAAAAGGAAGTTTTGCTTTAACTAGATGGGATTCGGTTCTTATAATGGTGGTCTTGCAAAAGCCATAAACAAAAAATAAAAATACGAGTTACACATATACATTACCTTGCAACAATACATGCAATAATTCACAATAATCCCATCAGATTATATGGATTAACAGTACCTTATTGTGTAACCACTTGTAATTAAAACATGATTAAAATGGCAAACTTCATAAATTGAGCAGCCATATTTAATAACTTCTGCAAATCTTAATTCGAAGCACAAACTAGAATCTTAAAGTGACAATGTGTAGTTTTCACCATTAATCTCTGGAAATATCCATCAAAATGTAAATTAATTAAAAGATGCCCAGTTGTTGGAAAAATATTGGCAGTTTCATAACATATAATTATAAAAATCTGTTCTAAAATACATGAGAGCGGGTCTAAGTCTCTGGGCGATGCCATATTGGATGCCATGTTTCCTTCTACGGAAGCCCTTGAGGTCAAAATGTATTTACTGATTTGTAACAAATTGTTACAAAACAATCATTAATAAACGTTGTTTTACACATTTACCTCTTCACTCGTTTCCACTGATGGTAGGGAATCTGGTCTTGTTATTTTGCAGGAGATTTCACTCCCAGGGAATTTTGACCCTAATGGCCATCTGTTGGTAAGGTCTTATTTGTACACAAAAGTAATGCTTGCTTGCAATCATTTATGTAAGTACTGCCCCCAATCACCAGAGAAAAACCACACCGTCACTTTAAGAAAAAAAGGAAGTGTTTATAAACTGAACAATGTATCGACATTATCAATCAATCAAACCTTTATTTATGAAGTGACTTGCTGAGACCTTCAACTTTAGGACAAACCAGAATCAAAAAAGAAAAACACCATTTGAAGTCATGGAAAGCAAAAGACTTTTGGACCTAAAAACCTGGACCATTTGAAGAGGTCTCACAGTACAGCCTGGAAGACCAGTTAGAGGGCATTGCAGTAATCGAGGCGGGAGGTGACAGTAGATTGCACCAGGAGCTGGGTGGCATGTTGTGTTAGGTATGGTCTGATCTTTCGTATGTTATACAGCGCAAAGTGGCATGAACGGGCAACAGAGGCAACATGATCTTTAAAGGTCAGGTGTTCATCAATCACAACACCCAGATTTCGAACTGCCTTTGAAGGAGCCAGAGATAGGAAGTCATTTTGGATTGAGATATTGTGCTGTATGGATGGTTTTGTTGGGATGACAAGTAGTTCAGTTTTAGAGAGGTTCAGTTGGAGATGGTGGGATTTCATCCATTTTGATATGTCAGAGAGACAGTTTGGTCGTCTGGTGGAAATGACAGATAGAGCTGGGTGTCGTCTGCATAGCAGTGGTAGGAGAAGCCATGTGATCGAATGACCTTACCCAGTGAGGTGGTGTATATGGCAAAGAGAAGAGGTCCTAGTACAGAGCCCTGGGGGACTCCTGTGGCAAGATGGTGCACGGTAGAGGATTGTCCAAGCCAAGATACACTGAATGATCGTCCTGTGAGGTACAATTCAAACCAGGCGTGTGCTTTCTCTGTGATGCCCATGCTAGAGAGCGGACAAAAGGAAGCCATGGTTGACAGTGTCAAATGCAGCCGATAAGTCGAGCAGGATAAGCACTGAGGATTAAGGATTCAGTCACTGCTAACAGAGCAGTTTCAGTGGAGTGGCCCTTTTTGAACCCAGATTGGTAAGGGTCAAGCAGACAGTTTTGTGAGAGGTATTCTGTGATCTGCTTGAAAGCCACCTTTTCAATGGTTTTGGACAGAAAAGGGAGGAGAGAGATAGGTTGGTAGTTCTCCACATGATTTGGAGGAAGAGATGTTTTTTTTAGTAGCGGTTTAACCTGCTGTTATAAAACCACACAGACAATTCGCCCTCGCTCCTTCAGGCATTGGTTTGAGCCGTCTCAAAGCACAGACATCTGGGCTGAGGAACAGCTTCTTACCTTACCTTATGACTTGTTGGTGCCACAATTTCCCATCTCTGGTGTTAAGTAATGAACTTAGGTCAGTCTAAGTTGTCCTCCTGTGCCTCTGACACGCTGTTGGTGTTAAAGATGAGTACCCTGAGAAGGCAGAGCTCTTTGATAGCAGACAAGTTGTCATAATATTGATTATTTTGGATTAAAATGTCATATTTTTGATCTGAAAATATGTTTCCCTGTCCAGATCAGATAATTGCTCATTGCTTTGTGTCTGTTTTAGCTCCAATAGTTTGCATGTGATAAACTGACTCCGTTTAACATTCTACAGAGGTGTGAAAAACCATTTGCCCCCTTCCTGATTTCTTATTCTTTTGCATGTTTTTTACACAAAATGTTTCTGATCATCAAACACATTTAACCGTTAGTCAAAGATAACACAAGTAAACACAAAGTGCAGTTTTGAAATGATGGTTTTTATTATTTAGGGAGAGAACAAAATCCAAACCTACATTGCCCTGTGTGAAAAAGTAATTGCCCCCCCCCCCCCCGTTGAAAAACAACCCAACTGTGGTGTTTCACACCCAAGTTCAATTTCTGTAGCCACCCCCAAGCCTGATTACTGCCACACCTGTTTCAATCAAGAAATCACTTAAATATGAGCTGCCTGACACAGAGAAGTAGACCAAAAGCACCTCAGAAGCCAGACATCATGCCAAGATCCAAAGAAATTCAAGAACAAATGAGAACAAAAGTCATTGAGATCTATCAGTCTGGTAAAGGTTATGAAGCCGTTTCTAAAGCTTTGGGACTCCAGCGAACCACAGTGAGAGCCATCATCCACACATGGCAACAACATGGAACAGTGGTGAACCTTCCCAGGAGTGGGCGGCCGACCAAAATACCCCAAGAGCGCAGAGACAACTCATCCGAGAGGTCACCAAAGACCCCAGGACAACTTCTGAAGAACTGCAGGCCTCACTTGTCTCAGTTAAGGTCAAAGTTCACGACTCCACCATAAGGGAGAGACTGGGCAAATATGGCCTGCATGGCAGATTTCCAAGACACAAACCACTGTTAAGCAAAAAGAACATCAGGGCTCGTCTCAATTTTGCTAAG